TCACTGAAACCTCACCATGAAAAGGGCTCTTCTCTCCATCTGCTGGAGGCAGTCCCACAGGAGGATAGGTTAGGGTGTAGAAAAGGATAAGTTAGGAACTCTGAGACTGTGGACAATGGATCAGGAGAGAGGGGGTGCAAACCTTGAGATGGGAGGAGGGCGCAGACCATGAGCAGGTTCAGCAGGTGAGGGTCCCCTCCTTTTTTACCACTTTCCTCACCATGCTTAGCATGGGAATAAAATGAACAGAGGAGGCAGAAGTTAAGCCTTGCAAATCCCTGGCTGGCTGCCCAATCTACAAGAGGGAGAAGGTGATCAGTACCTTTCACAGAGTGCCTAAGTGCCAGGAACCTTGAGAACATTATTTTATTCCCTCAAAAAACCTGACAAAATGATGGGGTGATATTCACACCTATAAAGTATAACTCTCACAGTCACATAGCCCATCAGAAGTGAAGCTGAATTCAAATCTGTGTTTTCTCTGTTGAGCTAACCACCCAATCCCCATAACAAGCAACTTTCCTCCAGGATGACTTTGTTGGGGAAGATGTAACTTTGGTTCCATAAAGACTACTTAAGATGCTTGTTTTGTTTCCCAGTGCTGGAGATCGAATCCACGGCCTTGACAATGGTAGGCAAACTTTCTACCCCTGAGCCAATCTAGCCCTATAATTACTACTGAAAGATAAAAAAAAAAAAAAAAAAGGTAATGTCAAGCAGAGGGGAGAATGAAGTAGTACTATTGCAGAATTTAGGCGATTGGAGAGATGAACAAGTGCAACAGGAGGATCTATTTAGGTGTGCACTGGCCCAGAGGACTCATATCCAAAGGCTGAGCCCTGAACAAAGGAAGGGCTCTAGTTTCATACATTTGGTCGGAAGGGTTGGTCTGTCTAGAGACATGAAACTGGTGGGTGGGTGAGAGTTTATAGCAGGAGACAAGAGCAGTTAATCAAGCAGTGACAGTTTGGCAGCTTAGTAACTGCTACATAGAAGGGAAGCCTAAGGGGACCTGGTTAAAATGGGGAAATTTGTTTTCCTTTTTAAGTTTGGCTTCAGCTTTGGGCCTTTATTTTTCCCCTCCACTTCCTACAGTTCCATTGAACCCTCCCTGCTTCTCCTCTTTTATGACTCTTGTAAAGTGAAATAGAAACACCTCTCAGTGGGAGAGAACCAGATTATCTCACAGGCCAGACAAGATCTACTTGCTAAAGATTACTGAATCGTTTCTTATTTGAGAGTCTCTGTCTGTAATGGACAATGATGGACCACTCTGCACCCCCATTTTTCCTTGCTCAATAAAACCCTGACTCTATTCCTGCATTCACTATCTGTGAGCCTTGGGGAGTTCACACATTTGGGGGAGGTCTAATTGGCTCACAGAAAGCTGGCACTTTTCTCACTGGGAACTGTTTCAGGACTGGACATACATAATTCTGGAGAAAAAATGAACTCTGATGGAGGCTTCTGGGAAAATTTTATTATTAAAAAAATAAAAGAATGTAAGAAAGGAATATTTGCTCTTCTAGCTTTTGGACGTAGCTGTATGAAGGTAAGATGCTTGGAGCTGCTGCAGCCATTCTGTAAGCATGAAGAGAACAGTCTAGGGTAGAAGCCAACAGGCTGAGGATGCTAAAGCAGAAATACGGAAGCAACCTACATTAGTGATCCCTGCAGTGAGTTGCTGGAATAACCAAGCCTGAGCTTGAATCTGATCTTCCAGGCACGTGAGACCCTGTTTGGTAATCAAATGCAAATGAAACATTCTAAGTGATAAACTAAAGGAAAGAAAACAGTAGGTGAGGAATTGGGTCATTTTACTTATTGAGCCACTAAAGAATTGGGAATGTGTTACTTAATATGTTTGCACGTTACTCTTTTATAGAGCTGTTAAGGCAATACCACTAAATAGGTTGCTTTCACTTTTTAAGTGGGACTTAGAAAATCCCCAGCTAGGTCAAGGGGCAAAATAGGTTTCTATGAAAATGTTGTCTACTGAAATATCAGTGATAGGGGCTGGGGATTTAGCTCAGCGGCATAACCACCTGCCTTGCAAGCAGGCAGTCGTGAGTTCGATCCCTGGTACCAGAAAAAAAAAAAAAAATCAGTGAAATCAGTAACTTTGTACATTACATTAATAAACATTTTTGTCTGTTCTCTAAACAAAGGAATTTTCTGCAGTCTTATTACAGTTGTTGCAGCTTGTTTCATTGTCATTATTTTTGACTAAACTCCTTCTAGCTATAGATTGAGTATGTCTTAATAAATCCCTGCTCTCACACCAACCATTTCCTGTTTCATGGGTTCCATTCTGGGTGACTCTGGCGGCCTAGACATCCTTGCCTTTCACCAGACAGTGGTTCCCTGCATTTCTCTCATGAAGCAAAGGAGACCTAGGAGAATGGGGATGTGGCCCTCACAGGGATGTTTGGCTCACTGCTGTCAGTGTTACTCCTACTCATCCTCAGCTCCAGGAGGTGATACACACGTGTTTAAAGATGTACCTCAACATGGAAGGTGTTCAGCCAGGTGTGGTAATCCCAGCACCCTAGGAGTCTGAAGCAGGAGGATCCCAAGTTAGAGCTCAGTAATTTAGTGATGGTCTCCAAAAATAAATAAGTAAATAAATAAATAAAGGCTAGGGGGATAAGGGGTGTAGTTCAATATGAAGGCCCTGAGTTCAATCCCTAGCATGAAAATAAACAAAACAAAACAACGTAATTTTTGTCTAGAAAATCGTAAGACACCTACAGGATTAGCTATTAGCTATTGTGAAGAACATCTTTCTATGATTGTAAGAAAACTACTAGAGTTTGGACTTGTTTTTCCTTCCTTGCCAGATGAAGGGAATATGTGCAGCATAGAGGCAGTTCAGGCTTCTGAGAGATGCTCCTGCTGGCTGACAGTCCTGGAGTCCGTTCTGCCCTGCCTACATCTGTCCTGACAGCTGCGTCTCAGTGAGCTCCACTGGAGACTAGCAGCACTCCACACTCCAGGGGGGCATCAAACAAGGCGTGCAGCAGAGGGTCCTCCAGCACTGAAGTCACGGAGTTGCACATCTTACCAAGCTTGTTTGCGTGACCTGCAGGCACGGTCAAGCCTCAGCCCAGGAGAGTACCTGGGAGTGAGGTTATGGCACACATACATCTCCCACTCTTGGCTGGTGACTTAGATTCCTGTGGCTTGAAGCACACAGCTCCAAGAATTATCCAAGAGAAAAATGGGCTTGGGGAAAAGGTGTGTGCCCATGCAGGCTGTGCCCTCCTGGACTCCACTATGCATGACAGGAACAGCAGGAACTGAGAAGCCCTGCCATCCAGACTGACCTGCAGATGGCTTGGCCTCTCTTGGACTTACATAGGATTTTGGGGTTGTTTTTTTGCCCAATAGTTCAATACTCACTGAGGGCCCCACCTGGACTTTGGAAGGGTAGGGTGGTGTTGACCACTGGGCAACATGGGTGGGTCGGGGGAGACTGGAGCTTTGAACCCATCCAGACATATCAGCAAAGAGAAATTTAAAGAGAGGAGTTAGAAAAGCAAGACCTGCAAACCTGGGAATGCCAAGTAATTTAGCCAGCATTTGTGGAGTGGGTATGGGAAGGCACCATTTTAAGCGTCCCGTATTTATGAAAGCACTTAATCCTCACCCGCAGCCCAGTGAGGTCAATGTTCCTGTCACTTGCTGTGGTGGACAAGGAAAGTCAGGGCTTCATGACAGTAAGGAGCTTGCCCGTGAGAGAAGCCACATGCAAACAGGCTGTCTAATCCCAGAACTGGTCCTCCTCTGTGGGATGCCGCCTTATGTATGCCCCCAATGCTGGGAATTAATAAGAACCCAGTTTTTTTTTTTGGATTCAGAAGATACTTAAAGGAAGACCTGACCATATGCCTCTAAATCTTTCCTAATCCAGAGGCTGTGTGATCCGACGTTTCTGCAGATTTGTTCAAAATATATATGCGCCACAGACCTCATTCCAATGCCAGAATTCCTTTACATATTTATTTAGAGGAAATCGCTTACCCATAATATGTGTAAACATAAACATATCTTATTTTCTGGGCTCTTTTCCTCTCAGGAACTGCTTCTTCAGAGCCAGATTAAGCTGTGCCTGTGGCTTCCCTCTTCACATCCAGCATTATCTCCACAAGTGGAACCTGTGATCGCAGCGGTGGGAACCAAGATAGCAGCTGCCAGATTCCAGAAGACACTAGGAATTCGGGACATGGGAGGAACCCTTTACAGTCTTGGCACAAATAAACAAGGAGGCTTTTCTGTTCCTTTAATGGCCTTGGCCCAGCTGGAAATGCACAGAAAAAACCAAGCAGCTTTGTGCTTAGGTCTGTGGTTAAACTGATCATCATCCTGTGAGGCTTTCCTCCCCCACCCTCTGGGTGCTTGCAGAGTGAGGTCCAGAGGTGCCTGCAAATGGAGGACACAGGGCATGATCTTCAGACACAGCCTGTCTTCCACAGACACGGACTCGCTTGATCCATTAAAACTAACAGTGCTCAGCACACTGTATGTCTCAGTGATAGAGCACTTGCCTATTAAGTACAAGGCCTTGAGTTTGATCCCCAGCACCACACCCCCACATACAACCACTTGATCATTTCCCCATTTTTATGTGCTTTTGTCACTATGTGTTCAAACAGGAAATGTTTCTTGCTGGAGTACGAGGACTTGTAACTCTGTAAAGCAGAGGCAGGGGCATCACAAATTCTAGCACAGCGTGGACAATGTAGCAAGACCTTGCTTGCCTCAAAATAAAAATCAATAAAAGGACTAGGGATGTAGCTAAGTGAGAAGGCCTGGGGTTTTATCTCCAATACTGCCAAACAAACAAACCAAAATCCTTATAGAAGAAAGACTAACAATTATAAAGTATCAGACACTCAGCAGTTGAAAATTATGAGGTAAAATCCCCAGCTACCATGGTAATCTGCCACACATACCAAGTCAGACACGTCAGACACACATAGATGCCAGTGCAGGCAATGTTACTTTTGTTCCATGTTTAATATCTGAAAGCTCTACGAATGTCTTAAAACACACAGAAATTTCTGAGCATATATCATTTGTCTGGAGAAATAAATAAACTCTAAATGCTTATTGTCAGAAACCTAGAAAAAAGATGTAAATTCTTTTTTGGGGAGATGTAAAAAATTATAACAAAATACCTTCATTTTGGCCTAGGTCAATAACTTGTCTTCACTGAATTTTAAAACTGAAAAACAATTATTATGTTCCAATTATCGCAAAGACTTAAGTACACACTGAAAATGAAAGTGAGAATTTATTTTCTATTATATTTTTCTGGTCAAAGGAGCTGATGGTTTTCTTTCTCTTACTTTCTTATACCAAATATTGTCAAACTTTAAAGAAGCCAAATGTACAGCAGGATCGGAGTTGAGAAGACTAACTCCCCATAGGTGGTTTGGATCAAAGCCCTGTTAGAATAACATTTGACATGGTTCTAATCAGCGATGTTACCTTCCCAGCTGAGCATCGCAGCATCATTTGCGGGCTGTGTGGTGCCTTCCCCAGCTCTTCCCCAAGGTGAGTTTTCCATCATCCCTTCCTAGCTGTCTTGACTTCCAACATCAGTGTAAGGAAGAACGACCACAGGAGATGTGTGGGCCCCTTCTTCCTAAATGTGGGGTGCACCAAGCTGTGTGGTGGCTCATTCACTGAGCTTGATCCAGAGACCGGGGTGCTCCTGGGCTCCAGAACAGAGCCCACCTCATCCCTCAGCTATGGCACAAGCTGCAAAGGCCCAGGACACACAGCACACCGAAGCCCACTACTCAGATGAGGCTTGCATCTCACCGCGGTACTTCCTTGAGCACAGGTTATGTACTCATCGCCAAGGGCAAAGCCTGGATTCCAGAACCCCAGTTTAAACTTGCTGTGAACTCATCCTCCCAATTCCTTTTTCACACAGTCATGCACACTTCTGTAATATCAATTTTTCAAGTTCATTTAAAACCAGAGGGGAAAGGAGCCAAGGGGATAAAAATGAATACGAAGCATACAGATGACTTTCTGTGACACTTTCCTCAGGAGGGCTGCAGAGACTTTCTTGACACTTTTGATGGGTTGCAGCATATCTGAACAACATGCCGGTGACTCAGTGCTGAAGTGTGTGTGGAAACCAGGAACACAAATGTAAATCAAACTTTTAAAACCTGAGTGACACAACAGCTTCCCTTATACATCGCGCTGGTGTACGAGCCCCAAGAGGAGCACTGCGGGCAGAGCACAGTAGCTCCGGGCAGCAAACTTACAAAGTCCTCTGCAACTAAAACCCCGGGTCTGATTATTTGTTTACTGGATCATGGGAACATGGCAACAGGAAAGGCTAAAAACAGTGCGTGCTTTCTTCTGGGGGATTCTTGGTTTGGACAGTAGAAAAATAGGTGCTTTCCTTGAGGGTTTTTGCATGGCCGAGATGATGAGGCTGAAGTTTTTACAGTCTGCCCAGTTGTCCTCAGTCTTTAAGTGAGTGGTAGGCTTTGGCAGTCCGGCTGTTGACAAAATCTGTCTTCTTAAACTGAGCCTTGGGAATAAGCAGATGGAGAGGTGAAGGGTGAGAAATTCTCACACAAGACAGTGCGGTTCCATGATTTCTCATCAGAGCCGAGCGGGCCAGTCTGACCTGGCTCCGTCATGACACCCGCCCCGCCAGGCATCTTACCTTCTTATAGGCATTGTGGAGCTCTGTGTGCCCCCACAGGGAATATAGCAGCACAGATGCAGCTTTGGTGGCTTTGCTGGGGGCATAGCTGGAAAAAGAGGACACTCTCAGATGGGTGACAGTGTGCAGGCCCCCGACACCCCTCTGACATTCTGGGAGTCCTCCCCACCTGCTGCCTCAGGCTGTAGACAGGCCACTCTTTATTTTCTTTTTATTGTAGTGCTGAGGATCAAAGCCAGGGCCTCACACACACTGGGAAGTGCGCTACTCTGAGCCACACTTCAGCCTCCTTTCCTTTCCTTTCTCTTCTCTTTCTCTCTCTAAACCATTAGGGGAGTGTTAATAAATGAGTAGTTCGTAAAGAACATTGTTGAGGTTTATAAGGAATACATCCTTAGATATGGTTTCAATTTTCTATTTTATTTACAGAACATAATTTATATTTGCACATTTAGAATGTGTGCTTAACAGGACACCGAGACAGGAAAGCGTCCTGCAGAAATTTACATGCTTCAAGGTCAAAGAAAGTTTTCAAATTAATATAAGAAATTCTTGTGGCAGTGACTGTCTGTGTAATTTTAAATCATTTTATGTTAAGACACAAAGCCCAAACTCACAGTGGTTATAAACTCAAGTCACTACCCAGTGTGACACTGATGTTCCCTTTTGATGGTCCACTTCCACATGGATCCTTGGCTTACGGATCCTGGCTAAACACCAGTGCATTTTTGGATCTTTTTCTTTTCACAACTGACTAGCCCAGGGCTGACTTACTTTTTAAACAAAGTGACAAAGGTCATGTGTCTGTGTGTGTGCCTGTTTCCCATTATCAGCAGTCTGTAAACACGCATCCATGGACAGAGGAACTGCGAGGGAGAAGCCTCAGGGCTTTGTGCGCCAGCCCAAAGGCGCTCTCTCCCATACCAGCCTGGCCGGCAGTGCGGTCAGAGCAGACCTCATCTGGGGCAGCACATATTTTCATACCTCTGGGACTGTTAAGTGCCACTTGGTAGTAACCAAAGCACAAATATATCCACAAAGACTCCAATATTTAAAAGTATAACAACTTTTTTTCTTGATTTTTTTGTTTGAGATAATATCATTCTGTAGTCCAAGCTGGTCTGGAATTCATCATGATCCTCCTGCCTAAGCCTCACAAGTGCTGGGATTACAGGTGTGTGGTACTGCACATGGTGAAGGTGTAAAAAGTTCTTAAACTGCAACAGTAATACAGTCATGAAGTTTGTTTATAAATTGGTTGGTTGGCACCGGGAACCTGTTTGTTCAAAGATACAAGGCTGTAAATGGTAATTAATTTCCAGGCTAGCCCTAAATGATAGGTCAGATACACAACACTCTGGTAAGGAAACAGTAACAGGGATCTTGTTATGATTTTTGCTTTCTTCCCTGGAACAGCATGTGAGGACATTTAGGGTGACAGGTAAGTTACAGAGTAGCATACCCTAATCTTGCTAAGGTACAACGGTTATTGCATCTGATTATTTAGATAGCTCCAGTCATTGTATCTTAACCTGGTGGCAGGCTGCTTACAGATTGGATGACTGCTTGTAAGGCTCATTTCTGTTTTTTAGCAATGATTCATTCTTTCTGCAAAGACTGAGCAACTGGGATCTCCAGCCTCCAAGGATAGGGCAGTGTTTCCCACTTCCTGGCAAATGCCCTGCTCAGGGCTCTAAGCTCATGTTCACGACCTGAGTCTGACTGTAGTCCTCCTGCCTCAGGAGCTTTGCCAGAGGGAGCTGCGGAGTAGCAGGGGCTCAAGGCAGTGGGGTGGGGGTGGGAGAAGTTGTGTTCCCTCAGGGCTCCCAGAGCCCTGACTGCACCCCTGTGTGCCCAGTGCCACCTGTCCACAACAGGCGTGGTTCACCTGCTCTGTGACTCAGAATCTGGTTACAACAGCTTTCCTTGGGTTATTGCAAAGATAATATGTAGGGCTTAGGATGTAACTCAGCGCTAGAGCACTTGCCGAACATGTTGGGTTCAACTCTCAGCATCCAGGAAAAGTTATTTGTAACAAATCAAACAATTCTGAATAAATATTATCTTCATGCCCCCTCTCTCTCCCATCATTCTGTGACAGTAATGATTTGGGTGCACACAGAGATGGGTTGTGCACTGCATCTACTCTGGAAAGGGAATAAGAGGTGGAAGAGATGTGACAGAGAAGACCTAGGAACACAGCAACCTTGTTAGGCTCCTTCCCGCTACTCCTGTGCAGTCCATGCTTCTGAGAAGCCGTGGATGTGATGCTGGCCTCAACGATCTACGCAAAGCCGAGGGTGTTATCCTGCTCCTAGGAAGCTGTGCCTTGCCTGAGCTCTGCTTTCTCAGTGCTGGCCACTGAATCCAGGGCCTTCACACTGTGCTACATCCCTGGCCTCTTTTGGACTTTTTAATCCCAAAACATTTAAGATTCAAAATATTCAAAGAATTTTTAAATTCTGAGACAAGATCTTGACAAATTGCTAAATTGCCCAGATTGGGCTGGAATTTGTGATCCTCATGCTTCAGCCTTTCAGTGGGCTGGGATTACAGGTGCTGCCTTGCCCGGCTCAACATTGCCTTTCTGAAATCCCAGCTCTGGGAAAGGAGTTCATCAGGTCGAGAGAAGTCCCAGTCTGTCCTGGTACCTTACAGAGAGTAGGCCGCCCTGCAGCTTGGTGGACCTGGTTTCTCACTTGCCTGGCTACCCAGTGTCTCTCAGCCTACAACCCAACTGGCTGACCCAGTGGTGATGGTAGGGAAAGGACACGGGGATGGAGCAATGGCGTGGACTTACGCGTCCCCGGCACTGATGGCCATAATCTTGTGGAGGCCCCCGGTGCTCAGGAGGTCTCGGGCATGCTGGTAGCTGTTCTGGGTTATGTTGTTCAATGTGTAACAGGCCGAGGCTGTTGTCTCCACCTGAAGGTCAGTCGTTGGAACTGTGTCAGGAATTATGGAAACCAAATCAGGTAAGGTTTCTTTGGCTGTAAAATGAAAGAAAAAGAACACTTGATTAGGAAGAGTTTTCTTCAGCCCAAGACTGCAATGCGCTTTGGGTAAAGGACATTTCCAAAAAGAGACACAGTTGATTAACAAACACATGGCAAGATGTAACTTCTCTAATCATCATGTTTGAAAAATTTTAAAAAAGATTGTTCTGTGCCCAGAACTTTGACAATCCCACAAAGCTATTTGACAGAAATGCCAAGAATTTTAAAATTTTCATATTCTTCAACTCAGCAGTTCAACTTCTGAGAATAGACTTTGAAGACCTCAGTTTAAAAACTGAAAATGCTTTCCATAGAGATCTGACAGAATCATATGTAAGTGAAAAATTATAAAAAACCTAAATCTCATAGGAATAGGGTTAAAATATACTTGCAAAGAATGCTATCCCTTCAACAGCATATCTGGGAAGGCTGTATACCAAGAAAATGTTGTATTAATATTCTGTGTGAAAAACAGTTATATAAGGAATACATAATATTACAAAACAAAGTACAAATAAGAGAACTACAGAAAAATGTTAACAGAACTGTTTTCCACAACAGTATCAGTGCCAATCTAAAAAATGTTTAAAATTTATCTGTACTTTCCAAAGTTTAAAAAAAGCATAAATAGTCCTACTGTTTTAAAAGAGGAATGAAACTATTTCAAATATTCTTTTTCACCATGTGTATGTAATTCTTGGTCTCAGGTTTGAGTTTAGCATCTTTCATTGTAACAGAAGAGAGATGAACATGCAAAGATTCACCAGAAATTGTCTTATGATACATATTTTGGGCAACAGGAGTTATTATGAAAAATAAAATACAACTATTATTGCGCTCTGTGATCCTGGAGGTAATTGGATATGCATCTGTCTGCATTACAAATGGCCTTGTAGGAATAATTATCAATGCTGGAAACACAGAAAGGAAGAAAATCACTGTGATTTTCAGCATTGTGTTTCCAGCTTTGGTAATTATTCCTGAAGCTGAGAGATGCTCAGCAAAAGGCCCCAAAAGTCTTCATCCAAGGATATCCTGGAGCTGACTGACAGGGCGGACACCTGCTCAGAGACCTGACCCCGCCTCCTCCTCCACCACACAGCATGGCATGGAGGTGAGCTCGGTGCCCAACCTGTGACACCAAGCTCTTCAGGTTCGTCCCAGCTCTGCGGCTTCGAGGTTCTGTGATTCGCTGCTCTCTCTGTGCTGTACTGCCCAGCTGTGCCGTAACCACCCTCACAAGGGTGTTGTGAGGGAATCAGTGAGTTCACAGTGTGTCTTTCTAGTTATTATTAGTAGGCCTCTGCCTGGCAGTTGGCTAAACTGCAGGATGAAAGGCCTACTTTCCTTTCACTGCGTTATGACGATAGTGTGGAGAGAAGTCTGAATCACCCCAGTGGTGCCCATTGGTCCAGCGTCCCCTGCTGGACACCATCCCCAGCATAGAAGGATGTGTATCTAGTACAGCATTCTGTCTCTCCATATGGGGTGTGTGCAAAACACATGGGGAATACATATTTTTTTAAAAATTTACTTCGGTAAAAAATACACTGCTATTAATATCCTCAGAATACCCAAGATGTCCCTCTCACTTCAAACACATTTTCCCATCATTTTGAAAATATCTTTTGTTGTATTAAGTTTAAAAACTTAAACATTCACTATACCTCTCGATCATCCTTGGACACACACTCGCAAACACACATGAACACACACCTATGTAACTGTAATAGATATACTTCTACTCTTTTCTGTACTGTGGACCTAAATAAGATCCTTACTGTTTGGACATCTGAAAACACCTGTAATAATGAGTGGATAGAAACTGGGACTGCAGATAGGCCCCCAGCTTCCCAGTGTCTGCACACTCATTGCTTTACTCAGTCCTGGAGAAACCCTGGCAGTACCGATCATTGCCTTTGGTGTGCAGCAGTGAAATGACACGCCATGGTGATGCGGGTTGGCGGTGGCCCTGTAGGAGGCAGACCCAGCACATCTCCTCTCTGACACCTGACATTTTGTCACCTATCTTTAAGCTTTGGGAAAGCGTGTTCCATGTTTGCTTCTGAAAATGTAAACTGTGTTGCAGGTCAGCACGTGGACAGTCCCCTGGCCTAGAGTCTCTCAAGAGAAATGCAGAGCGTGTATCCGACCTGTCCTCACTTATTCCAGGCTACTGACAGAGTCCAGAAGGGTCAATCACTTCATTTATATACATAGCATAGAGCCAATTTGGGACTTTAAAACTACACTTATCCTGCAGACACCTCTTGTCTGTCACCTGTAGAGTGAGGGAGAGCATGGAACCCCCTCATCCAAAGCTGTGGGTCAGCGCTCTCCATCCAGCTCTTAGGCAGGGGAGTGCAGGGCCAGGATAGACAGAAACTCAGCCTTGTAGATACGTGCAGAGCCTGGGCAGTGCAGTTAGTCACCTTGGCAACATTTTAAAGATGGACTCAACCTTTCATTTGAGAAAAGAGGATAATATACCTCTATTGAAGTCCAGCACAAAAGCCCACGCAAGTCAATGAGGAGAGAACACTCCATAATTTTGAGAGCACACCTGGCAAGGTGTTTGGGGTCCACAGAGTTGTTTTCAGCTCTCCCTTCTTTTACAACAGGCATGGAACCATTGTCTGACATGGCCTGTGCAGTGCAGTGCTGGCTGCCTTTGAAAATAAGTGACTCTAATGAGCACATGGACTTCACTGGTCCTGGTGTGCAGTGAGTGCATGCTCTGGAATCTAATCCATTACAAGAAAGGAGCAGAAATGTGTCTGTAATATAGTAGAATTGTCTAAATGACTGAATTTAGGTTGTTAGACAGGACTGATTTTCAGCACATTAGGAAGCACATTTAATTTCAGCACTGTCATCCTAGGAATCTCATTTTATAGTTTAGCCTTGAGTCAACAATTATCACATACTTGCTATAAATGAATAAATGAAAAATTATGTTATCCAACCCTCTACCACAGTGATTATCTTTGTTAGAAACAGTCTCACCAAGAAGGCAAGCGTGTTTCTTTGTATTGAGTCTAAAAGCCAACTAGGCCAAACCTGCGACAGTCAGTCACTCCTTTTGTCTTTTAACCTGTCTATCCTTTCTTTTTCCAAGTCTAACAAACTGCCCAGCATCTAAAGGAAACAACTGTTGCAGCATTTCCTTAGCATCCTAGAAAAGGGTGCTCAGGCAGGCCATGGAGAGAGCATCCTGAACCACATCTGTGTGGATTAAAGCTGTGTGAACACAGAATGGCAAGGCCACCAGGTGGAAAATGCCAACTATGTTACTTACTTTGTTAAGTATTAATATGGCCTACATGTCTCTTCTGGAAGTGTTATGGCTTGTGTCTAGATGATCCCCAAAGCCTCATGTGGTCTTAAGTGGGGTTTTTCAGAGGGCTGGATCTAGGGTGTGTGATGCTGGGATTAAGTCTGAGATGCTGGGACTAAGAGTGTGTGATTACTAAATCAGCCCACTGATTTGGTCTGGCATAGTTCTGGGAGAGGATTATAATATGAAGGCCCACTGTGGGTATGGGTGCTACCTACTGTAAGGGTGTAGAGCCTGGATATAATACAAGGGACAAAAAGAGGGATGAAGATTTCACTGCCTTGATGCCTACTGCCCACCATGAACTGCTTCTCCTCTGCTTTGCCCCTCTGCCATGCCACCCTGACCTGGAGTCAGCCAACTATGGACTGAAATCTCTACAGACTGTTAAGTTAAATAAACTTTCTTTCTTTTTAACTTTGAGTGTTGGGTACCTTGTCGCAGCAATGTAACTAAGACAGTGAGCAATTAAAACAAACAAACGAAAAAGCTGGATATTAAGAAAAATTCAAGCTGAGTGCAATGGTGTACACCTGCAATTTCAGCACTCAGGAAAATCTTGATTTTGAAGTCAGTCTGGGCAACTTGGCAAGACCCTGTCTCACAAAAATAAAAGCGAACACATAATTCAATTTGAGGTCCAGTGAGACCCTTGACATTTGCTGGCACAAAAGCCAAGCCTATTTATTACCTTCTGCTCTTTTCTTGCCTTTCCAGCTCATCCTTGTGAGAAGATGTGACACAGACAGAGTCTAACTGCACCTGTATTTTTGCTGTGTGCTTGCTACATGCAGACTCGCTGGCTACCGACTCACCAATTTCGTTCTGCAGAGAGAGATTCCGGGACAAGTTCCTCAGCAGGGAGACGGCCGTCTTCCTTACACTGGGGTCCCCGATGTGCAGCATCTTCCGGGTGTGCTGCAGGCCGCTCTCCTTCTGCACCACAGTCTGGGCCACAGATGTCGGCATCTATATGGGAGACGTGTTACTAAGTGTGCACGACCGTACTGTTAGGTTTTCTGTAGAGAACGAGAGGCTGAGGGAAACATTTTAGAAACTGTGACCCATCAAGCTGGGCGTGCTGGCTCATGCCTGAAATCCCAACACTGGGGAGGCTGAGGTGGGAGGATCATTTCGAGTTCAAGACCAGCCTGGGCTACAAAGTGAGCTCAAGGCCAGCCTGAACTGCATAGTGAGACCTGTCTCAAAAAAAGACAAAAAAAAGAAACTAGACCCATCATGAAACTAGTCTGAAGGCATTTTCTTTAAATTCTCATTAGCTTTTCAATATAATTACTTGATAAAAAACACTTTCTTCAATATTTTTGGTGCAATGTTGGATTTGCTTAACTGCTGTTTTGCATCTGTGCTTATAAATTAAAGGGGTCTGACTCCCCTTTTCTTGTACTGCCTTAACAATTTTAGAAAGTTATGGCCATGTCCTAAAATTAATTTTGTCTTGAACTGTGTGTAATCCAAGAATAATCCACTCTTTGCGGGTTTGATAGACTTTAGCCACAGAGCCGCAACAACTGCAGTCACATGGACCTGTGTGTGTCTTAAAACCAGCTCAGCTGAGGAAAGATAGAGAGAGATGGCTTTGACCATAGCTTTGGTTTATGTACTTGGCTAAAGGCTGAGTCATCTTTTCTGTTTCTTCTAATTCAAGTTTCAGCATTTTACTATTTCAGTGAACTTACTCATTTTGAAATAAAACTCAACTTATTTTTTAGAATGATATGGGGCTTTCAAAGGAAAGGAAGGAGTGTGTCGCTGTCTGGAGCATTTGTAACCCTACTCTGTGTCAGATGCCCATCTTGAATCAGGCCAGCCGTCTTTTGGGAGCTCAAATACTGACCCCCTTGTTCCTGCCATCAACAGACCCTCAATTCTAGGGTCCTTGTTTATGTTTGCGACTTCATACTGGATTTCCTTCTACTTGAAGCTACTATGCCCCAAATTCCTGGCCATCTTTCAAGGTGTTTATCGCCTGCTTGCTTCATTCAAACACTGCCCACTCCCTGTCCGTGGCTGAAGTCCTCGCCTTCTCTCCTGCTACCTTCCAGAGTGTGGTCCTTAAATTAGGATCAAGGTTAGGCTGGTGGGATGGGGAGGTCCCTAAAAGTTGCTTCTGTTTATAATTAGTGCTCCTAGGGAAATAGTCTTTACTCTTTATCAGATTCTCAAAGTGTTCTTGGCTCAAAGTTTAATCACAACTGTTCTTTCACAAATGAATCACAACTTGTCTTTCTGTGATTTGCAGAACATCCTGTTAGACTAACTGCTGTCCCCTGAGAAGTCTCCTTCCCCCTCTGCACTGTGAAGGAAGCTATTAACTCTTAGAACCGCTCATGCTGGGTAGGCTGAGGGTCTCGCCTTCCCTGATGTCTTTCCACATGGGTGGAAGCCTTGCTCGTCTGCAGCACTGCCGTCAGCCCTGTAGCCTGCCGTGCTTGCTTTGGAGACTCTGGAGTTGAACAGAGCAAAGTGCTGACCTCATTGGTCCCCACCTCCCTGAGTCACAGCCTTTCACCTCGTCTCTACATCGGCCTCCCACCCCGGTCACAGGGGGCCTGTGTACCCAGACATAAGCTGCCTCTGAACTCACAAATGCCAGCTTCTGATTGATCTTCCTGCTTCTTTGCTCTCCCTGTCACTCTCCTGTCGCGTCTTCTTCAGCCTCATCAAGAACTCCCGTCCCTTCACCCCAGGCTTCCCTCTCCTTCACTTCCATATTCATAGAGGAGTATGTGAATATTATATCAAACACTGCCTTTATATCCTTAACCATCTTATCATTCTAGCTTATTTCTCAACTACTTACCAAAGCTGCAATGTTAGGTTGAGTTTTGCTTTTTGTCTTTTCTGTGGTTATTCTTGGCTACCAAATATCATAGAATAAACAGAACATCTTCATACCGGTCTGCCTGCAAACACAGTTTCTCATCTCCACGAGGAACTCAAATGTAGCTGAACCACCCACTGGTTCTTAAACACTGAATGGGATTTCAAAGCATTCCACCAGAATGATCTTTCTAAAATTGAACTTCATTCTGTTCTATATTAGGTTTAAAACCTTTATTGACTCTCTGTTGCATAAAGAAACCAAACATCTTAGCATGGCTCAGACAGTCCTTCATCACCAGGTATCTCTTTTCCTCTCCTTCTCCCTTGTTCTCAAGGTCACAGTGACCTTAGACCCTACTATTTCCCTCTAGGCCATGAACTCCCTGCATGGAGGGAGCTTCTGCTTTCTCTCCACTCTACAGAAAATCAAAGGGAGGACATTTGAATAACAGCTTGAAAGAAACTAAGAATAGATTATCTGAACTGGAAGACAGATTTGTAAGGTGGGAGCATGAAATGAAAAACTTCTTAAAAATAACAAGGAAACAAACAGTAATAATACAAAGGTTAGAAGATGATAAGAGGATCTATAACTTAAGAATTAAGAACATAAAAGAAGAAGTAGGGACACAAACAAATGAACTACAAAAGCTATTCACAGAAATAATCCAGGAGAATTTCCCTAATTTAGCAAAAGGTAAAGATACTCAGATGTATGAGGCATACAGGACCCCAGCCACCTACAAACCCAAACAGAACTACACCCAAGCATATAATAATCAAAATTCCAGAAATCCAAATAAGAATAGAATATTAAAAGCCATCAGAGACAAGAAACAGATCACTTACAAGGGAATACCCATCAGAATTACCGCAGACTTCTTGGCACAAACCATCAATCATGAAGAGCGTGGGGGAAAATAATTCAAGCTTTGAAAGATAATAACCTCCAGCCAAGATTGATATATCCTACACAACTGTCCCTAGAAATTGATGGAAAAACAAGGTGCTTCCAGGATAAAGAGGAACTAGGGGAATTTGCAACCAACAATTCAACTCTACAGAGAATATTGCAGGATATTCTAAAAAAGAAAAATACCAAGATTACAGAAACAGTGGCAGAGAGGCCACAATGAATGGAGCAGAAAACAAAATAAAGACAAACTGACAACTAATGACAGAAAAAGAGCTCAACAGAAATGAGGCAGAGAAGGTTGGAATGTAGGAAAGGCTATTTTGGAGAAAACAAGACATCATAATAGATAGTGCTGATTTAATATCATCTTGTTCTGAAGTCCCATCAAGCTTTTGTTCTTCTGTCTCCATCGTCTTAACATGTTGTATCTTATTGGATTTTATTATATGTGATAATATAAACAAAAACTTTTATAGACAAGGAGATTATACAGAAACCATTGTTCATTTTCTGTTAGTTGATTCTAAATACCTTGTAATACTGTCATTCTCTTGAATGGTTTTACATTGTCTTGATATGTTTGATGCTACAGTATATCAAGTTATACTTAAAGATTTCAAGGAAAGAGACACTATGGTAACTACTTTTATGTTGGGATTATCTTGTGGTGAAATATTTTGCTTAAATGGTTATGTTTTGACCTGCGCTGTTTTGTTGTTATGCCCTCTTTTATCTCAATCTCCTTTCTTTTATTATTTACTTTTTAATTTTTATCCTTTTAATTAAGGGAAAAATAAAAATAGCAGGATATATTATAGTAATCCACTTTGATTTCCTATTAACTTGATTTGAAATCTTGTATTGCTCTCATCCTCTTGTTTTGACTGATTTTCCTCTATTCTGTTTTGTTTGATAGTACCAAGTTTGAAAGTATAGGCAACAACTGTGAAGACAATAAGATTCATTATGACGCCCATTCTGGCTGACTATTATCTTCTTTTGAAGTCCTGTAATGTATCCAATATTTTGGTTTTATTGGTTTTGTTCTTTATTGTTTTGTTCAATTTTATTATAACTAATGATATAGGCAATTCTTTTTAAGATAGCAAGAGACATTATGGTAACCATTGTTGATCACCTTGTATTTTGTTTTTACATTATGTATTATGTCCATCCTTTTGATTTGACTGACTGTTTTGTTATGTCACATTTGGTTTTACTCTCTTCAAAAAAAAGTAATAAGAACTGTGGGAGTAATAAAATCCAAAATGTGTAATTGTCATTGTACAAAAGAGGAAAAGAAAGTGCTCTAAAGGACACAACTGTATGTATATTTAAGTGTATAAGATAGATAACCAGATTACTGAGTTTTGTTGGATCATTGAACAGAATTGTTTGCAGTCTCACTGTTTGAATGTCCACTTTATATGCTTTAATTTTGTAACTTGAACAACTATTTCTAAGATGACAATATGTAATGTATTAACTAGTGATTTGCTACTGTTTATTTTTTCTGAAATTCTGTATAACTTGTACCCTTTTTCTGTTTTTTTTTTTTTTCGTTTTCTCCTTAAATAAAATAAAAAAAAAAAAAAGGGAGGACATTTGGCTATAATCCTAACTGTGATGTTAAGATAGGACAAATACTGGTTTTATCATTTCACAATGTTATTCAGAACAGAAAGCAAACTTCTGAGTGAATACTTAATATAAAAGTAAATATGAGTTCTCACAGAATAAATAGTATTTTTGATCCCTACAAGAGTAGTTTGTTCTGTGGGAATAAATAATATATAATGAATTATTTTAGAGTTTATTGTAATGATTTTATGATCAAGGCAAAGAATATGAGCTTAGTTCAAATGACTATGTATGGAATTCCTAAATACGTAACATGGCATAATATACATCGACTGCTTCATACATTTTCACTTTGCTGAGATACAGTAAGTGCATCTGGAAAGAGAAGAAGCTTTTTACAGTGGAGCTGAATTTCCAGGACACAATGGCACAGACATCTCTGATTCCACCCTGAGCAGACACCTGCTGTTTTCGCAGCTCAGCATCCCTCCCTCCTGCTTTGGGTCAGAACACTGCATTTTCCTGGAGGGAGCCATGCCTTCACCATGCTGCCCATGCCCACGTGCCTCAGTCTCCATGGCTCAAGCATGCAGCCCCAGATGGGTAACCAGCCCTGGCCAACCTGGCGCACTGGTTGAGAGGCTCAGGTCAGTGAGACACACTTGCTCTGGGCTTCGTGGTACTCCCGGGAAAATGGCTTTGTCCAGTGGGATGCTGGGCTGGTAGCCATAAGCCTGAAAAAAATCCCTGACTTTCCTGGTTACCATACATATGAGCGGAATCTTTGAGAACAAGGAAAATGGAGCAGAGGATGGAGAGTCACAGTGATCCCCAGAGCACGTGGGTCCAGGGATGAGAGAAGGAAGACAAGATCCACCCTGATAGCTCCGTTCCAGGAAACAGGAGATCTCTCTTTTTCTTTCCATAAACCAGCCAAAGGTCAGATGCTGAGACCTTTGGAACTCAGAGCAGGCAATGCGAGCATCTTGTGCTCTGGCTTGCATCCTGGCCTGGCCAGACAGACCTGAGGCTGAAGTCCTGGCCTACCGAAAGACTCCCTGGCAGTTTCTGAAAATAGGCTTGACCCAAGAGGGGAATCTTTAGCTCCTTCCTCAGGCTCGTACCTTGTGTCTCTGATCCTGTCCTCTGTGAAACTGATATCTAGAAAAGTTGAATAGCCAGTGTATACTCACCGGGCCACTCCCCGCTGTGAGGTTCTGCAGGGCTCCTAAGGATGCTTCCTGCGTGTAGTTCCGCACGCTCTTGGCGATCAAGGACAAGTACATCCTAATCACGATGGAGTGCCACAGCCACTCCACGCCCTTGGGGTTGCTCTTTTCCTCTGGCATTGGCGCATCTTGATATTGCTAATGATACACAGGGAAATCCAAGATTACAACAGCAGACCAGAAATAGTGCCTGGCCAAATCAACAATTCCCATAAATTCTTAAGTGGAAATTTAAAAAGCATTTAAAAATTTAAAATATAGTATATTTAAATATAATACAGATTTAATTATAAATTTAAATATATTTAAAAATATGGATGATTTCCAACACTTAACTTTTTGCTCACGATTATTATTTCTCCCTGACAACAACCCACACTCCCCACTTTACATTTACATAGCGTGAGTTTTTCTAAAATGGGTTTTCTGGCTACTTTTAAGCTAAACACTAAATTAGTCACCTCTATTGTGAAGATAAGAAATCTTTCAGTCATGTAAAGTTCTCAGGGTAGCACTGGGGTTCTAAGTTTATCAACTGTTCTCCAAGTTCACAAATGATACTAAGAGTAACAGGGCGGTTCCATCTTCTCAGTTTTCATGTTAGTGTGGAAACAAGTGTGTTTTCCTTCCCAGAGGTTCACTTTTGGTGTGTCTGAAGTTTGTTTTCAGAATGTGCACAGCCAAGTATCAGGGCTACTTTTGCTGCTTGAGTAGTGTCTACACAGTTGCTTATACTGCACTGTCAGTTCCTAACCTACAGGGTATACTGCAATTTGGATCAATGGCTAATACAAATCTATAGCCAGACGGCCAAAGATCAAAGTCTATCACTTCCACTTTCTTATTTTGTTGAATTAACTTGGGGAAATTAATTATGTTTTCTGTGCTTCTATTTCCTCACTGCTAAGTGAAGGTATCCATAACATACCTCCCCTATGATTTAAAAGAACCTAAAATAGGTTCCTACAGTAGTGCTCGATGTATACCAAGTAGGCAGAAACACACACGTTCTCTTTCTGTCTCTACCCCCTACACCCAAGACTTCCTAATATACCTCTTTTACTTTCCTGCTTCGACTACCAAAGCACCCTATACTCTTGCTGTTGTCAGTCTGGATATTCCTGTTTTGGATGTAGATATTCTGGGAATATTTCTCTGGGAGCTCCGCCTCCAGCTGGTAGGAGAGGTTGTGAAGAGTACACACACAGTTCTCTGTGGCCTGAGGAAGGAAACAGGACAGGATTTTAGTGACGTATGTGTGAACACCCTCTTGCAGGTGTGGTATTATGGGGCTTAGCAGGCTTCAGCTCTTACAAGGCTTCCTTGTGCCACCGGGTCTGCTTGATGCAGGACACTTTGGGGTAAATATATGGAATTACTGAGCCCGACTGCAGAGGCGAAGGTTAGATCAAATGGTCATGAGCACACTGCTAAAAAGCAGAGGCTGAGGTCTGAGTATTTAGCTCAGTGGCATAAGTGCCTACCTGGCAAGCGTGAGGTCGTGAAGTCTGACCCTTCGTACCAAACAATAAAACAAAAACTCAGCAGAGGCTGAATTTCTTAAAATAGGAGTGAGCTTTTCGAGGTCCATCTTTCCTCCCTGTAAGCTCCTTTCCTCTTGTCTTCCATCTTTTTCAGTACTAGAGATTGAACTTAGATCCCTATAAATGCTCAGAAAACTCTGCCACTGAGCTGCCCCAGCCCTTGGAATCTAATTTAGAGTATGTCTGGATGACTGTGTATCTAGATCCACAACTCAGCAGCCACTCTGAGCTGAAGAAGGTGACATCCTGCAGAGGGATGGCAGGAGGCTACTGCAATAATCAGAATGAAAGATACAAAAGCCAAGAGAGCAATAGTAGTATTAATGAAGAATGGAGGAACTAAAACCCCTTTCAGAGGTAGAATGCACATGACTTGCTGTCTTAGGGTTATGGCACCTGAGGGAAGGGTAGCCTGAGAGTACTCAGACTGCTACCTTCCGTCCCTGCCACCATCCAGTACTGGGCAGTCATCCCAAGGCCTTTTTGTTTTTAGATACAAAGTCTCTCTAAACTGCAAAGATGCCCATTTGCCATTGTCCTGTCTTGGCATCCCAGAGTGCTGGAATTACAGAGGTGAGTGATTTCTATCTTCTCTTAATAAGTGGTGAAATTTATTAAGAAGCATTATACAGAGGAAGAGCAAATTTGGGGATGAAGGAAAAAGATCGATGTAATTTTACTGCAATACATATAGCATTTGGGCTCCTTTTGAATCCTTGCACTGAGTTGTTGGGCAGGCAATTGGAGCCTACTACAGTGGTACACACCTATAATCCCAGCTACTTGATGCAGGAGGATCATAAATTCAAGGCCAGTATGAGTTGTTTAGTCAGACTATCTCAAAGTAAAAAATAAAAAGGGCTGGGGATGTAGCTCAGTGGCAGAGTACCCTTGGGTTCAACTGCTACTGCCTCAAAAAAGAAGCAAAAACAATAGGTAGTTAGAAATAGGAAAGTAAGGCTTGACAGATTTTAGTATTTCTAAGCATGTATAGCAAACCGAAAGTTCAACACATGAGTCAGAGCATGAATCTAAAGTGAAGTAGGGTATTTTAAGAATGTTCTAAAGCATCTCTGTAAGTCAAAACAGGTCATTCAACAGGTAAGACGTGTCCAAAGTCACCTTGTCATCGGGCTGGTAGTCTGCAATGGTCCCCCTGACGTAATGCACCAGTGAGTCAATGAGTCCATCACATCTTCTCATCACTTTCCTCCCTTCAGGGCCAGCTGAGCTCATATTTCTATGAGGAGAAACAAGCAAGCAAACACCGTAAGTCTTAGGCCGTGGAGCCAACAGGGCTTTGTTTCAAAACTTTACCTGATGTTTGTTCTAGGTGTCTGGAAACTGATTTTGTTAAAGCATCGTACACTTGTCCCAAGACCAATAAAACATGAATTGCCTGATGGTCATCAAATCTGAATGTGACTTCTAGATACAGCCACATAACACATAATCATGTCAGTAAGTCTCTGCTGGCTTTATTCCAAGTATCACAGTCAGAGCATTATTTACATCATCTTCATTTTTTTGAGACGGCAGATATGAGACAAAGGTTTTAAAACTAGGAGAGGAACAAATAGCACATTAGGCATACCTGTACGCTGGATGTCCAACTCCCAATTTGCTCCACTTCTTAACTCTAAATAACTTAAAGTTGCTTGGGGTCTCGGTTCCCTCCTTTGTAAAGATGGGGTGTGAGATTATTTCTACTGGGGTTTTGAGGGGTTTGGTATACCTGCTATTGATAAACATTAACCTAGATGCTCTGACTGTGACAATCCTATGTTAAAATGGAAGAGCAATGTCAGAGAAGACATAAGCATTTCTAGTGTGAAAGACCAAAGTCAAAAGCATGACCTATAAATATCTTTGCACTTAGTCTATTTCTAATTTTGCTATGCTATGACACCTTTCTATAAACAGTAATCATGTCTACAAGTGGAGGTTGCTTCCTTATAGAGAAATGAAGCTTATCAGACCCAGCAAAATAATGCACTGTGGGGTTGCCCTGCAGATGCAGATGATGCTCATAGTCTGGATTTGTCCTGTGGATTAAGGTTTTCTTGTTAGTATTAACCATTAGAAAAGACTTTTTTCCAAATATGTTAACACCTCTGTCAAAAAGACTAGAAAGACTATTTTAGAATTTGAGAATTATCCTTATTGCCTTTAAGCCAAGGTAAAATTGGCTCCTATGAAATATATTGATCCATTTCTTTTACTGGTAAGTAGAATACCCAAATACATATTCCAGATCTTTCCTTTGCAATATCTCAGTGTCAGTCTGATCAAAAGAGAAATAATACTGGGAACCTTTTGCATCTTGTTTTTTTCATCTTTAAAAATAAGTGCATTAAGTGATTTCAAAAACGCTTTCTTCATAAAAAAAAATTGCTGTTTTCAAAGAAACAAACATGCCAGCATCATATCAAACACAGGGCATGCTACTCTCTTCACGGAAGACCCCATCTTTAGCTGGCTGTATGGAGCCCCCTCCATAGGGTTGAATTCTGTGAAGACAAAAATATTCGCTGTCAGCGCAGCACCTTTCCGATTCTACTTAAGAGTTGAGGGGAAAGGTACACTGAAAACTAAGACCACCCTAACAATCTAATGCTTGTTAAATTGATTCAATGAATTTTTAAATTTTAACAAATCCCTTCTGTGACTTTAGTTCTTACTTGATTCTTTGGCTTAATAATTCTCTTCCGTATTTAATTTTTACTGTAACCTGAGAAATTCTGACACCTTGTCAATTAAGAAATGATAATGAGTAGATTCCCTAACTGGAAAGAAAACCATTTTTACTGTGACTTTTTCTCAAGAAATAACTGTTTAAATCAGCATCTGCTATCCTCTGAGCCTTTCCAGAATCACGTGGTTTTAAAAAGTCTGACAGAAATTTAAGAAGTATCTTTACTACTCTCCCATTTTTACTTATGAAGAGATTGAGGTCCAAAGACCTTAAGCTACTTTTCCTACAGACAGGAAATTAGTGGTGAAGTTGGGATAAAAGGGGTCCTTTATATCCTGTGTCCAGACTGGTCCAGAATAGAGCAGATCTCATTTAACAATCACCCTGTCTGTCGTTTGTTAGCAAATACCATATGTCCCCAACAACAGACAATGTTATCATACACTTTAAAGCTTCTCTTTGACCTTTCTGACCCCTGGCTTTGGAGAAACGGCAGTAGTTTAAAACTGTGTTGACAAATCAAAGAGTCTGTCTAACTCACCAGCTACACCTACTACATACCTTGCAGAGGGGTGACTTAGCCTTGTTTAATAACTCCAGGGTGTTTATTTTGGGTCAGAATGGTAACTCAATTTGGCAGTACTGCCAGTTCACGCGTACTAACTGTTGCATTGTGGTTTGGTATTATCCAGACTCTGCTGGCTTGAAATGGGACTTATCAGAGGCTTTGGCAGTTGGTATCTTTGCTAACACCAAGTGCATGAAATCCCACTGGTTCAGTACTTGCTCCTGCATATTATAAATAGCTCCCACCTTACTCAACTATCCATAAATAATGAATGATAAGGACAGATTATTTTATATCATTTCACCTTTGAATAGAAGTCGTTAGACAGAAAACAATTTGTTGCTGTATCACTCTGAAAATAAGTAATCACCAAAAATGATATATCATCTTTTAAACTACTTTTCTTTTTGTATCAGGGATCAAACTTATGACCTTGCGCTTGCCAGGCAGGCGCTGGGCTGCTGCTCTATATCCTTGGCCCCTAAAGTACTTTTCAACAAGTAATACTTATGTTAGTAGGAAGCAGAGAATTAACATGCACTGGTCCTTTTAGAGTGTGCCTTGATTTCTGAGAAATATTTATTACAATTTCCTATACTGTAATAAACCACTGGAAGTTTAAATACCTAAAAACCATTAATGAATGATAACCAATAACCACCTTATTGATAGGTAAAAAGGCAACAAGCCCCCAAATGTGGTGCCTCAATAAAAATTGATTGGTGACCAATAAACTATCTTGGAAATGTTTAGTGCCTAAGGTTTGAGTTTGATTAAATTATGGGCTCATTTCCCCTGGTAAAATCTAGTGTAAGTCTAAGCAAATATGTAGGTCTCTTTAAGGAAACAAACACCATGTGCATATCAACATTTTAAAACCAGGGGTGTGTGCACAGCCCTGGGGGTGGTGGTGAAGGAGATGAACTCATCCACACGCAGGCAGAACTCTTGGAGTTCTTCACCTCTGGGCATAAACTGGGGACACCAGCTGGCTCTGTAGCCAGGATTTGACCTTAGGAACTGTTCTGGCAATGTGATTTGTAATGGGTGCAAGGGGAATGGAATCTGATCCCTCTGCAGATCTGTAACTGGTCACAGACTTGAATATTCAGGATGATTCAAGTGTCTTATCTGAAAGCAAATCTGTGACTTTTGCCCCTCTCTAAGACCACTTATCTCACACATTCCTAAGTGTCATAATGAAAAAGAGAAAAGCAAACACAACACCCCAGGCCTTGAGTTAGAGTTTAAGGAAGAATGGTATGTCTGTAAAGATCAATGACAGTGACTAGACCTTAAATTCATATGGTAAGCTAAAGGTAGGGAATGTCAAATGATAAAATAGCCACAGTTTAATTTGTATGCTAGACAGTATGGCGGGCAACTTACAAACATCATGACCTGTAATTTTCACAAAATCCCCCAAATGAGGGTACCCAAAAATTTCATTCAGCATCCTGCCCTGTGACTGGGATTTAAAGTCAGAATCAACTGCTTCTAACAGGCTCTTTACTGGCCCTTCCATAGAAGGGTGTCTGTGTGAGGCTACCCACAAATAAACTCTCAGCTCTGCCAAGTTTCCCACCACTGCGAAGGCGTTTGTTACAATAGAGGATGTCTAGGCCCAGTGTCCAGTGGGTTATCCAGTGGCCAAGACTGAGCTGATATGAAATGTCTTCAGCCATATGTGTAGTTACCAGGATATGAGGATGGCTGATAATAAGAGGGTTAGGATGCATATTTTCAAGATATTGCACCAGCAAAAAACAACAAAAAAGTAATTTAAGAGATAGAAATTTCTTTTTGGAAAGGAGCTGTTTCCACTTGATAATGGGGGTTTCTTACTAATGTTATTTGTGTGTGCACTGTGGCAGTGTGTATAAGATTTGGTAGTCGCAGGACCAGTCTTAAAGTCTAACCAGCGTACTGAGGGGGCGAATACCCCAGTGACTTTACAGAACTCTGGGTGCAACTCCGCTTGGTAGGCAGAGCTAGTATCTATTCCAAGACCTCAGGACACACCAGCTGATAAGGAATTATCCTTCTTCCTCTTGTTATTTAAGGTTTAGGTCTTAGGTTTTTAACTCTCCACTGATACATATCAAACAGTTGGGCCTTCTGTGTGACTAATCCAGAGCGAGCAGCAGAGGCAGTTTGTGGTTGCACACACAAAAGAAGAGCCTCATTTGAACTGGCAGAGGGACAAAAACTCTACGCCAAAAGAAGGGTTGTCTGTTAGTCTGGAGTCCGCCTCGGTTCCTGCAGGTATCAGCAAATATCAGCTAAAGTCAGCTGTTTAGCCAGCACACAGAGGCAGTGCAGAGGGACAACAAAGTCACTCATCTCAGAACAGAGCTGTGCCAGCGTCTTTCACACTTCGAAAGCCGAGAAGATAGCCCAGGAGAAGGCCCTTCAGGCCGGCTCCCCTGCACTGCAGAGCCTTCCAAAAGCACTGAGAATACACGGTTCAGTCAGTGAGCATGTGGCTCGGAGGCAACATTCATTTCCTCCTGATTAGCTGGAGCAGACGGTAGGGAGTAGCACGCCAAACTCCACTTAAAATCAATTCTAAGCAGCCGGCTGTAGTTTTTTAAGAACACACAGGAGCCACTGAAACTTGAGCAAACATTCCTGACACCCGAAGGAGATGTTTGGATGCCAGGCTGGAGCTGACAGGGTGGAGGGGTGGGTGCTCAGCCACCTCACATTTCCAAGGCAGGCCCAGATTTCTACCCTTGGGACAGCGACAAGATCATCCCCACTCAATGTAAAAATAATAATACATGAAAACAATGTCAGAAGCTGGGGTACAGTTCAGCGGGATGGCATGTGTTTAGCATGTAAGAGGTCCCGGGTTCAATCTCCAGTACCAAAACATCCTGTTCTTTTCCCTTTTTTTTAGAAGTAGTTCTGATTAAGATTTCCAAAGAAGATTTTTTGTGTCAGAAAATACAATATATAAAACACACCTCCAATT